AGGTAAATTTGGATTTTAAAAATCAATTAGCATAAATTGTGCCTAATTATCTATCATCATTAGGTCGAAAATGAAGACTGTTTACCTAGATTGACCACTGCCTTTTAAATGATTTAATAGTATAAAAAGGGGCCTTGCTAAGTGATTAGCACCAATTATACTAATGATACGTATCTGTTTAAAATAATGTTTTCCTATGCATATTTAATTTTGCATTGGATTACACCCACTTTGATCAGCTACACGTTCACACCCTCACAGTATCCAAAATCTTGATTTTTGCTTTGCAATCATCAATCAACTCATGATTTATCATAAAATATATTTTCGACAATTTTCTCGGCATAGAGACTCGGCAACGGCGAAAGGTTTTGGGAATGTGAATTTCCTACTTCCAACAATTTTATTGTCAAAAGAGGTAGGATACTTTTATGTGCAAGTGATATGTCCTTTCAATATTATGATTTTTATGCGTGATTTATTTCATGAAATGCTAATTGACCTGCGGGTCCCAATGAAATGAAATGAAATGTGAAATCGCCTTCGGGCCTTCTCAAATGTGCTAGAATTTTCGACTGATCACCGATTTTTCTTGATGAAATGATGGTATGAAATGTTATGAATTTACGTTTTAAAAGTTATCATATTGTTCGGACGCACGTATCCTACTGAGTGTAATTACTTACTCCTTTAATTTCAACATTTCAGATCAGTGCGGTCAACGTGGATAGTGGTTGGGCGGTGCGCGGGCTGCTAAGTAAAATAAAATTTATATTTTAGAAAATTCTTTAATAATAAAATTTTTAGAGTATATTTTTTTTATGTTCTAAACTTTGTGACATTGTTTCAATATTTGAGTATTCAATAAATTAAAAATCTTTGAATTAAATATTTCCGCTTCAAGTATGTGTTGTGAAATAATATTGGTGACACCCCAAAATCTATGTCAATATTATTTGGGGCGTTACACTCTCGACGTAGGAGAGTCAGTGTACGACGCCGACACATGTTGGAAATTCTAGGTGGCGTGTCCAAACTATTTTTTTGTATTGTACAGTTGGACACGTCTAGGGATGGCAATCGGGCTCATCGGCTGGGGCCGTCCGTGGCTCGGCTCGGGGCTGGGTAGACCCGAGCCTAAGCTCGGGCCGAACCCCATTTTGGGGACACGGGCTTTGCCCGAGCCGGCCCGTGAGCTCGCGAGCTTTTTAATAAAAATTTAAATTTAAGGCAAAACTGCTGCCTTTTAAAGGCAGCAGTCGCTGCCTTCAAGGCAGCAGAAAACAAAAAAAAAAAAAAAAGGGGAGAAAACGAGCTGCCCGGCTAGGCCCGTAAAAAGCCCGAGCTCGAGCCTATTTTTTTTTACTGAACTTTTGCTCGGCCCGGCTCGAGCCCGCAAAAAAGCTCGATCATTTTAACCGGGCCAAGCCCGAGCCGAAACTTTAGGCTCGCGAGCCGGCTCTGCCCGACTCGTTTACATCCCTACACACGTCGCTAACATGTCAAGAGACACATGCCGTGAGATACATGGTCTACTTGTTGTCTGTACACTTCGGCGTGCTGAAATTAACAAAAACAAAACCACTTTACAATATATTTATAAATATTTTATTTTAATAAGCATGTCTGGAGTGTAATAGATTTAATACTCCTTGCCAAACATGTGGCAAAGGCAAATTACGTCCTAAAGTTTTCCTCTTGTTTTTTGCTCATATTGTTAGAAATTAATATGTCTTCATGCTTAAACTTTCTTTCATGGAGCTATTTTTGCTTTTTAAATCAATAAAAACCACTCAAGAATAAGGCATTTACGTTTTGTGGGAACCGACTTAAAAGAGCATCATGTTGCTCTTGTGTAGTGTAAGCTCTAGAATCCAAACTTACATCAAAGAATAATGATAAATCAGCTTGTTTGCTTTGCGTGTTTTTGATTTCATTTTGTTTAGACCTTGAAGTTAAGCATTAACGTATAATACATAACACTGTTGTTGCTACTTAATCACTAGTACGCAGGGATATTTGCTCTTTCTGTCTGATAGAAAAGGTTCGCATGATACTGCAACTATCTTACCTAGGATCCCAAGTTTTCTGTCATCTAATTGTATTACTTGTTAGTCTTCATCTGTCAGTTCGGTTCTCTGCTATACTGACGTAATTGATTTGTCTTTGTAAGTGCAGGTGCAAGGATACTACATTAATTTCTTCTTCCATTTTGGGTTTCTAAAACTTTTTTTGGGTAGTGTTTGTCTTAGTTCTTGACCATTGACTTTGAGATTTGTTACTTCAGCAATTAAGCAAGCATAATTCTTGTGGATCTTTCGGGATTTCTTACTCATGTCAATACAACTTTAAACTTCTGAATCTGAGACTCATGTCAATTTTTATACCATTAATGAGTTAGAAATATTTCTACCTTTCCCTACTCAAGCTTATTCGCCTGTCTTGTTGGTTCTTCTGCTTGGATTTTAGGCATATAGGTAATTTTTAGTTCCTGGCCTGCTGCAAAAGAACTCAAATTTGACCTTTGGAAAGAGTAAAACATGAACTATAACGAACTGTAAAATAAGTACAATCAGTGACTTGCCGGTACTCCTTCGTGAATTGGTCCAGAGTTTTGATTTTATATAAATAAAAGAGAAGCCCAGGTTTGTATTCGCATCAATCATTCCTCAGGAAGCGATGGAGAAAGAATCTGCTTTGAGTCCTTTCATTTCTGAACTTCTTAAGGCAGACAGGATGCTGGCAAATCAAAACATACATGAATGACTTCTTGCGTTTGCCTGCTCCTTGCTTCCATTCCTCTTTTAATGAGAAAGCTATGCATGTTCCTTAATAGCAAAACTTAAAATTCCACGGTTCCCCTGTCCACTTGAGCTCGACAATAGTACTTAAAACAGTCATACAAAAAAATCTGGCTGAAGGAGCGTTCATGAAGTTCTGGATGCCTATGGACATTTGGGAATATCTAACTTCATCCCACCTTGCATAAAGCCCCCGCTCCTACTAATAGCAAACTAATAGTCCTAAAATTGAATTCTAAAAATAGCAAAATTGGAAACTGAGTTGGTTTTAACACTATTGGCTTTGTCATACATCACTTATGTTGTCACTGATAGCATGATGTACACGATCCACCTGAATAAGATTCATATTGCCAGTGTCAACCACCAATTTTTCTCATGGTCAGAAGAGCTGAACAGTATTTGTCAATTTGGTGTTGAAATTGAAATTATTTTTTATATTCATATGCTTTTTCTTCCTTGGAGTTGAGAATTCATTCTCCCTTAATGTGGCAGACAAAGGATTCCTATGCTTTTTCTTCCTTGGAATTGAGAATTCCTTCTCCCTTAATGCGGCAGACACAAAGGATTCTCCACTCTCCTTTATTGTGTTTGTGATTATGTTGCCATTCATTCATAGATTTGGTTAGGCTTCCTATCATATATAAAGGGTTTTCTTTTCTTGATTTGTCTTTTTTCCTTTATTTGTTCTATGTTGGGGCCATGGGAATTTTTTAAGACAAGATTGAGACATGTATGAAAAAACCTTGTAATTTAGGAAAATCTAGTGTTCGTCTATGAAGAGCGGATCTAATTGTAATTACCGGTTGGTCTTAAATCAGTTAGTTTGCTGGTTTCTTTGACTGACATATTGATTTGTTTTTCCTTCTACATTTATTAAGCCACCCCAAATGTATATTTTACTCATTATTCTAATTGTACTTGCAGGAACTAGAGAAGGTATTGCCTAGTATACCACCACAAGAATCCAAGTATCACCTGCGCAGAACGCACTCAGGCCAGCTCTAGGCTACATGGATCTATTATGTTATGTCGTCTTACTGTTGGTTTACTAGTGTTTGTTAACTTTTCTGACTGAACCCTTTTCTTGTTCGTACATTTTTTAGTGTTGCAACCTGAAATTTGAGATTGATTTTCGGCAACTTGGATGCATTTTTGTCATCGATTTTGGCCTTACGGATGACCATTTTTTTCCTATGTTCAAGCAAGCATTTTTCGAGTCAATTTACATATTATCTGCTTCTGGAATATTGAGTGCATGATTGTAGGATTGGAGAGAGCACATTGAAACAGCTAGAAAACATGTCCTGGTACCATGGGCATTTCAAGACCTCTAGTTTTGATACATAGAGATGTAAAATGAGTTGAATGATAAAGATAAAGTTAGCAGGTCCTAAGGACAAAACATTCCTTTCAATTTTCTCGAAAAAAGAATTGATAAAAAGGGCGTGGTTGGCCATAGGTCGACACCATCCACCTCTCTACTAAAAATACTTCTTGGTCATAGCCATGATCAATACTAACAAATTAAGGCCTCATTTGATAGGGATTTTTTGTCCCAAAAAATTGATTTTTTGACCGTTATTTTACTATTCAAGCCGTAATTTTTGACTTCTTCTCTCACATGTGGACCCCACTTTTCTTCTAACGGTCAAAAAATCAATTCTCAAAATTCCTACCAAACGGGGCCTAAATCTTCTCCTTTTTAATAAATTTAAATTGATTACATGAAATGTCAAAATAACTTTATAACATAAATTTATTATTAAAGAAAACCCATCATTTCTTATAAATATCTTTTCGACTCAATACTTCTTGGAATGTGTTCTAAACACAAAAAAATAGACTAATTTAGATATTTGCCCTCCAAACGAGCTTCAAAGGGCCAAATTTCTTTCTTGCATGAATGATTTAATCCCATTAACTCGGCTTCTTCCTTCTCTCGGTCCAACTAATGTTTCAATTACATACTTCATAGAACAACAACCATCACGGTGAACCTTTGTTTTGTTTCACTGTGCTGCTCAATGGCAATATTTTTATGGGTGTTAACGATAATGGATGCTTCAAAAGAATGGGGAGCAAAATGAAGTTTCCACAAAACTTTTGGTCCAAATGTAGACATCATTTAGATATTTAGTCCTCATTCTTAAATTATACAAACTAGAAAACCCTACCAAAAAAAATAAAATAAAATAAATAAATAAATTAGAAACATGAGCAAAAGATGAAAAACCCAGAATCCAGCCGCCTCCTTATACTCACTTCCCACTTAACAGCTCACAAACCAGCCTCCATCATGGCTTCCGAGAAAGAGGCTGCTCTCTCTGCTGTTCCATCTGACTCTCCCACCATGTACTCTCTCTCCGCCCGTATATATTTTATGTTATATAATCATATAGATGTCCATATGTTGGTGGTATATGTTTATTTTTGTTTTATGGTTGACGACATGCAGATTCGACAAGATAATCAACAAGGAAATTCCGGCTTACGTTGTATACGAGGATGACAAGGTTATTTTTAAGTATTCATTTTTTTGACGATTTTTTTTTTTAAGAAATATATTATGCTCTTTTGATTTATATTATAGCTATAAGATTTTCTTGAAATGGAAATGGATGCTTACAAGTAATGGATAAGGTTATTTTATATTTTGTGAAGAAATGGAAGAAAAAGGGCTTTTTATAACGCTAAAATGAAAGTCAATGTTGAATTCTTGCTTGATTATTACTAGAATTGGAGGGGAATATTTGTGTAATTATGAAAACGGCTATTTTATTTTATTGTTATTTTTGTTTGCCAAACATGGTGTGGAAAAAAGAAAATTATTTTATTTGATGTTTAATTTTTTAATTATCCTTGTGCAATTTTTTCCGACATTTTTTTACAACCTTACCTCTCCCAGCCTTGATACATTATCTCTCTTTAACATAGAGATAGAGAGAAATTTGAAGTTTTAATATTTTCATGGTATTGGTATTTATATTGTATTGCGCCTCTTTGAGTAGCCGTATGAACAACTTCAAGTGCATTTCATATCTGGCTTAGTTAGGAGGCCAACAATAATAATCAGATTTTTGGATCTGATTGCCAAGGCAATTTGAGTGGACTGTTTGTTCTCTATCAATTGTCCTCCAAGCAGCCTTGGACAATCCTTTTGTATAATTATGCGCCACATTTATGCATGTCATTAGGTGTCGGTTGGTTTGACGCTTCTAGATAAACCAGCGGAAGGAGGGGCAATATGTAGGTTCACGTTGTGAGATTTGATCTCGTTCTCTCCTCTTCCTCCATTTTCTCCTTTTGGAATCCTGTAAATGATGAATTTATTTAAGATACTCATTGAATACAGATTGCTTGTCAATATACTCACTTCATTGCCTCTTGAATAACCGAAGTGGTGGTGCAACCTGCACGTATCATTCGGTTCAGATGGGGGCACAAATAGAGATTGAAACAGTTTGAGGATGAGGAACTCTCTCTTCATCTTCATGGTCCTTTTGTAATTGATTTCAAACTTATTTCTATTCTCTAATTTGCATCATTTGGAACATATTATTTTAGTTTTGTTATATCAGTTTAGTTATTTTATAAATTCTGGTTTTAAGTGTTTCTGTTTGTAAATTTTATGGATTTATAAATTATATTCTCCTCTCTTCTACGGTTCTACCTCTATATTTTTCCTATAGGTTGTCACTCGCACACAAAAACACTAGAAGCATAAAAACACTAGCATTTCTTTATTTAGATTCTCGTCATTGATGGATTAATTTAACCTGCTCGCAATATAGAATTGCTTGTTGGTATAGCTACTGCATTGCCTCTTGAATAACTGAAGTGGTGGTGCGACCTGCACACATACCATTCGGTTCAGACGGGGGCACAAATAGAGATTGAAACACAAAAACAATTTAGGATAAGGAAAGCTCTTTTTATATTCCTGTTCCTTTCCTAGTTGATTTCAAACATGTTTATTCTCCAATTATCTTCATTTGAAACATATTATTTTCATTTGAAACATATTATTTTAGTTTTATAATATGAATTTAGTTATTTAAATTCTGAATTCATTTTTTGTGGTTGTAAATTTTGGGATTTTTATGGTGATATTATTTTCCTATAAGTCTTATCACGATGCTCACAGAAATGCTAGCATTTCTTTATTAAGATTCCCATCAGTGATTGATTAATTTAAAATGCTTACTGCAAAGGGGATTGCTTGTTACTTAATGCACTGCCACTTGAATAACCGAAGTGGAGGTGCAAGCTGCACACATACCATTGGGTTCAGATGGGGGCACAAATTGAGATTGAAACATGGGAACAGTTTGAGGAAAAGGAAATCTCTCTTAATATTCATGTTCCTTTCCTAGCTGATTTCAAACACATTTTAATCTCTAATTTTGCTTCATTTGAAACATATTGCCCCTGTTTGATTCCCCCTTTTGGGATAAAATTCATTATGGAATAGTGGTTTTTTAGAGAATGTGATTAAAAAGGTAAGGAAAAGTTTTTGAAATACGTGTATAATTATTGTATAAAAGAATCTGTGGTTGAAAATATGTTTTGAAGAAATGGATTCTTGAAAAAATGGGGGATCAAACAAGGGCATTATTTTAGTCTTAAGCCCTGTTTGAGCCCCATTTTTACCTCATTAAAATGAAAAATATGACCGTTATTCATCATATCAAGTCACAATTTTTGAATTTCTATCTCTTGTGTGGAACCCATAACGACTCTATTTTTCATTCTCATTCTACAAATAATGTGGCTCAAACGGCTCTTATTATATCAATGTAGTTATTTTGTAATTTCTGATTTAAGTGTTTTTGGATTTTTTTTATTTTTATTTTTTATTTTCTATGATTATATTGTCTCTCTCTTCTACCTGTATTCCTTTTCCATAGGTCTTGTCACGACCTAAACACACACAGAAATGCTAGAATTTCATTATTTGGATTCCCTTCATTGATGGATTGATTTAAAATGGTTACTGGAAATGGCATTGCTTGTTGATATATTTGCTGCACTGCCTCTTGAATAACTGAACTGGTGGTGCAAGTTGCACACATACCATTTGGTTCAGACGGGGGCACAAATAGAGATTGAAACATAGAAATAGCTTGAAGAAAAGGAATGCTCTTTTTATATTCGTGTTCCTTTTCCTAGTTGATTTCAGACACATTTCTATTCTCTAGTTTTGCTTCATTTGAAAATCATCATTTTAGTTTTAATATATTAATTTGGTCGTTTTGTAATTTTTGATTTAAGTTTCACACACACACAAAAACACATTAGCATTTCTTTATTTAGATTACCGCCATTGATGGACACAAATAGAGATTGAAAAGGAAAGGAATGCCGTCTTTAAATTCCCGTTCCTTTGTTAGTTGGTTTCAAACACACCTCTTCTCTAATTATGCATCATTTGAAACATATTCTTTAGTCTTAATTATATTTTGTCATTTTGGAAGTTCTGATTGCAGTGTTTTGGTTGTTAATGTTATGATTTCTATGACACAGTCTCCGAGTTAATTTTCTTCTAACCAGTGGATTTTTCTTCATTAGATTATTCAATTTATCAAGCACTATGTTGTGAGGTTTGTATTAATGAATGATTGTTACCCGTCCCTAAATTAAATTTGCTGTTCTTCTTTTACTGTTCTTTTCTGCAATAATAAGTTCTTCTTTTACTGTTCTTTTCTGCAATAATAAGTGCTTGTTTAGTAGAGATTCAAAAATGACGGCTGTAATAGTAAAATAGCGGTCAAAAAATTGATTTTAATTGGGTTTTTAGCTATACCATACAAGCTCTAAATTTATAATATCTACCATATATGAGTTGTTTCATGGGTATTTACTTTAATCTCGTTAATTTGTTTTGTAATTTTCTTGATGTTTGTCATATTTTTTCTGTACAGGTTCTAGCTTTTAGGGACATAAGTCCCCAGGCGCCCACTCACATTCTTATCATCCCTAAAGTGAAGGATGGCTTGACTGGAATTTCTAAGGTACTTCTCTCCATTGTTTCAATGTTTTAAAGCATGCCTTGATTCAATTTTAAACTGCACTCGTGTCTCAATTTTTGTCCAAATTTCATTTCACTCTAATCTGATATGAAATGTTTACAATCATAGTTGCTTCTAACTTAAAAATATCGATGTCAATATTTTTGTTTTAATGTGCGACTGTTGAGCTCCTCTGCCTTTTCCCAATGCAGATGTTCTTTTGTCCCCTTTCTAGTAATTACCAAAATATGATTCTCAGATGAGTTTGTTACAGTTATTTAGAGCGTAACGTTACTGATGTATCATAACAATCATAGAATTCCATCAAATTTTCATGCTCCTGAAACAACTTTTTGACAATCTTTTGACACCTGCTAAGTGCTTTGCACTTCGTAAGTGAAAGGAGAGAGGAGTAAAGACCAGGGTGAGAGGGAGAGGAATGGGGGGTTTCTCTTAGAATTCTAAAAGAACTTCTTGTTTGGTGTTTGGATTCATTTTTATTTTCTATTGCCACATTATAGGCTGAGGAGAAGCATTGTGAGATTCTTGGCCTGCTGCTTTACACTGCAAAGCTCGTTGCTAAACAAGAAGGCCTTGAGACAGGCTTCAGGCTCGTGATTAACGATGGGCCTGATGGATGTAAGTATTCTTTCTTATTCGCTCTCGACCGTCAAACTTTAAGTTTCTTTCTTCCCTTCTATCTGAAATCAGGTTTTGACAGGCCAATCCGTCTATCACCTTCACATACACCTCCTCGGAGGACGCCAAATGAACTGGCCACCTGGTTAAACTGGAGTTGCAATGTAATTTCTGGTCATCCATGCGTGGGTTGATATATAAAAATAAAATTTATTAAGGTAGCCTGTCTTGTACTGGAGGGGCTTCAAACCTTTAACCTATCCCAACCATGGATGATGTGAATTTACCGTCTAATATCTGGGTTTGTCTTTCACCATCACGATCTGGCTATTATTGTTACAATGATTACCTTTGTGGCTTACTTGAGTTACCAAGGATTCTTTGGATATTTTGAATGGCCTGGTTTCTACTGAGATCATGCAATGAATGAAAGCATCGTTTTAGTAATATAATGACAAAAATAAGGCTAGGGCGCAGTTTGGTTTGGGTCAGTTTTGACTCCAACCCAAAATCAAAATCAAATTAGTCGGTTTGGGTAAATTTTCAAATCGAACCGATCCACTCCAACTCTTAAATTGAATCGAACCAAACCTTGGTTAATCAATTTGGACTAAATTTTGGTTTGGTTAATCGATTTGGACTTTTAGTCCAAATTAATTTTTTTAAAACGAAATTTTCTAAGTTTTAGGTGTACTTAAATTACAAGAACTAAAATCACCAAAAAATTTAAATTATAAGAATTGTTGATTAATAAATAAAATCATGTTAATAGGGATGGATCAGTTGAAAACTTAAAAATGTTATTGTTTTTTATGTAGTATGTAATCTAACTACTTGAATATGAAGAAAATGTTAAGTATAACATAATAAGCTTGTGAAAGAAAATGTTCAGTGCTATTACTCATCAAAAAATCATAGATTGGAGGGAATCGAGATATAATTATAAGATTAGAGTTTATTTTTTGATTTTTATATTTCTGAAATTAAAAAAAGGGGTGAATACATAAGTAGGTTGGATTTGTTTGGTTAACTAATGATTTGAGACTTTAAATCATGACTGAATCGATTCACCATGATTTTGTTTAAAAGAAAACCAAATCAAACCAATTATCTATGTTAAACCAATCCAAGTCGGTTCAGTTTGATTGATTTTTTCGATTTTTTTGCCCAAGCCTAGCAAGAATCATGACCCTTTTCAGAAAACGAAGCAAAAATATCGTTAACAAAAGTGTTTGAAGCTAAAGTGTTAATATTGTAAGGCTTTGTACAACTCTAACCATGTCGCATTCTAGAGAGTGTGACCAGCTTTCTCGTTGGATTTCAAAGCGTGTTTTTTATAATGACCCGAATTTGTCTGAATTGTTATATTATATGTACTGTCTGTTTTAAAAAGAGTTTTTGTTCATCTTTCCTGTCATGTATGCTAAAATTCATGTTTATATGATTAGTCAATTCTGATTTAACCTCAAACCTAAATTAACTCGTCGTGTTATAAATAAACAAGAAAAGATTCTATTCGTCAGATGACTCATTACATTGTGTCTATATGTGTGTATATATTCAACGTGCAAAGCATGTTCTAACGAAAGTCAACTCACGTAGGAATGCACTATTGGTCGTTTAAGTTATTATTTTAATAATAAGTTAGTCTCCAACTTAAAAATGAGCAAATTAGCCTCTAAATCAAGAATTGTCACGATCTTTAGCTTATGTGAAAACAAGTCACTTCAATTTAAGCACTAATTCAAATTAAACTTCAAAAATTGGACATATGTGCGTTATTTGTTGATTTAGAACATGTTTGGTACAGCTTAAAATTCAATTAAAATTAATTTTTTGAACGTTATTTCATAATTTCAGCCGTCATTTTTGAATTTTTTTTTCACAGGTAAGATTCACTTTATTTCTAACGGTCAAAAAATCAATTAACAAAATTCCTATCAAACAAGCACTTAGTGTAGATTTTGGATTCTTCACTTTACTGATTATGACAAGTATAATAAAATATTTAGGATCAATTTGTTTACCTTTAAAAGTTATAGACTCATTTGTTAAAAGAAAAATAGGTTTGGATCGAGATCCGGATTCTATGAATTGATTCGCAAACCGGCTTAAAGTAATAATTTTATTATTCCTGTTTGAAGTTTGAACTCTCTTTCAATCTGCCTGGTACCTTTCTTAAATTGACAGAAGAATTCTTTGCGCTCATTATTTATCAAATACTTCACAGCTTCCTTAACAATTAAGAATGTAATTGACGTCAGAAGAAAATTAAAAAAACCCCCCGAAGTTACGAAGGAATAGGGTTTACTCAGGATTTATATATTGGTTTCGATTTTTCAGTTTGCTGCATCTATTTCAGGTAAGTCATGAATTTGTGTTCAATTTTTCAGAATTTAATTTCTAGATTATACATTTTGTGATTCCATTTGCAGGTTTACAATTAATTGTGTGATTACCTTTTATTTTATTTTATTGTTGTTCTGATTGTACGAAATAGGTTTAGGGAATTTTGGTAAAAAGTCTAATTCATGACATCCCGGACATTGAGAAGAAGGCTCCACCATGGAGACGTTGACGGTAGAAGAAACGAGCATTTTGAGACATCACGGTTTGATTCTTTAGACGAGCCATTACTCGGAAATAGAGACTATGATGACGTGCACTCAGAGGTATGAGATAGAATTGAATGAAAATTGGTTGTTAAATTGTTGTTTTGGACGTAACGATAATAATATTTGGCTTGTTCGGTATGTGTAGGGCCATTCCCTTGGTGAGATTTTGGATGATGGGCGGAATAAAGAACACTTGCATTGGACAATGCTTTTTTCTCATATAATTGCTCAATGGGCGCAGTGGTTAGGTGTGTCATTATTGAGATTTCTTTCGTTGTTCTGAATTTTTACATGCTTGTGCTTCTATTGTTTTTATATTGAATTTGGTTTCTGTTTTGACATTAAATTTTCTGAGTCAATATTATATACAACATCGTCATTTGGCATTTAGGATTCTTGGGGCAAATATGTTTTGTTTTCATTTCTAGAATTGCTGCCTGTATATCAAGTGAATTTCTGTTTTACCGTTATATTTTCTAACGATGAAGAGAGACTTAATTTCTCTGGCACGTTTCTGAGCACATACTCCTTGTAGACGAGTCTTGTACTTCCATGCAAACAAATACTCACAATATTTCTGTAAATAAGAAATTAAGCATGCATTCATAGCAGCAAGCGAACTTTCTTTGACTAAAATATCTTTTTGAGAGGGGGAAAGGCAAATACGTTCAACTTGCAAATTTCAGTTTGGCAGCAGAGATAGCTTATTGGCTTGGCACTGAGCTCAAATTTGAAAGATGACATGAGGATGCATTTCCATTGCAAACTATCTTTCATATTTTTTAAGCAAACTGATATCTGTACTTAACTACAAGGGAAGGATGAGTAAATTGCACTGTCAAGATGGCTAACAAGCTTTAGACTTGAGCTCAAGTTCCAACCGTGACAGACTTAGTTTATGGTATAATGGTTAGATGTTAGCATAAATGGGCATCCTATCCAACCTAATAGATCTGTTAACAGCTATTATTCCTTGGGGAATCAGCCAAAAAACCTTGAACTAGAATTATTGGTTAGTTGAAGAAAGGAAATACCATTCCAATTCACTGTGAAGCTGTTTGGCCTTGTATTAGTCCAGTGCCTTAAAAAACACGTGGAGCATATAAAATTTCTAATAGTTACCATGTATAGTATTCTTAATCGTTCTAATAATATCATTTCTATTGAAGTTATTATTTTTAAAAATAATGAATATCTAATGAGGATCAATATTTTCTTCAATTTCTGATAAGTATCAATAATCTCATCTTTTTCTTTTTAACAAATAATGTCTTGGACCTGGGTCATTTACCGAACAGCTATTGCCCTGTCATTATCTTTTGAAATAATGAATTTTTTTATGATTGAGAAGGATCAATATTTTTTTTTATAAAATATTTGATTACCTTTCAAAAAAAAAAAAAAAAAAAAAGGATTAATATTTTCATTCTGTTTTCAGCAAATATTGTCCTCGGATCTGGGTCATTTATTGGACGTATTTTGCCATTTGTACCGGGCAATCAAAATGGACCAAATGGGAAGATTTCACCGCCTTCACTCAGTCCCTTACAGGTATGATCTAGTGATGTTATTGATGATTCTAGGTGGCAGAATTTTTGAATTTAGCCCTTGTTTGAGCCCCATTCTTTGGGAAAAGGTACATTCTTAAACAATGTTTTGACATCATTTCAACCACACATTCTTCAATAAAATAATATTATACGCAAATTCAAATTTTTTACTTATTTTTTAACACACATTTTCGATCAATACACTATTTAAAAATGCATTTTTCCTACAAAATTGGGCTCAAACAAGGCCTTAATTGATGGCTTTTCCGTAATAGCCGGTGATTCATTACACAGATCTTTGCTGTAGGTGAAATATGTGTATCTTAAAGGTGTAAACATAGGATAAGTGGTTTTTGCTCATTTTACTTAACTTGTGAGACTCCAAGCTGATATAAAAATATGAACCGGTTGTCCATTGTTTATACCTTATAGCATGATCATGTTTTACCTTGAATATGTTTGGTCTGCGTTGTGCTTGTGTTTGGATTTGGCATGCTACCCCAATAGCTAATGATTTTTCCCTAGGTGAGGCGCAGAGTAACAGCAATGACTTTCTTCTTGCAATTTCTCTTCTTTAGTAGCTTTTTAATTCTGTACATAAGTTTCTGGAGATGGACAAAGTCTTTGATGCATGTGATTATATCTTATGGAATTCAGCAATTTGACTATTGATTCAGTTTTCACAAATTGAGAAATGTCCTATTGAACTTTTAAGTCATTTGACAATGCATGTAATTTTCATAGAAATGATAATCAACAAATATTACATTGTGCAATTTAAATCTTCAACTTGCAGCAATGAAATATTTAGATAGATGCTAGAGGGGCCTGCCAAAAGGTTTTGTAGGTTATTTTTTGTTTACCCATGGTCATCTACAAAGAATAATCTAATCATTGAGGGTATTGGGATATCATGTGAATCATCTAGTATACAAGTATTTTCTATTTTATCTATTATCAAGAAATGTTGTTTTATTTTCTAATTTATTCACCTCCTAAAAGACTTGTTTTCTGTCATTTTAGTTTACATGTTCATATTGTTATATGTTTAAATATGCTTCTTGTTGATTCTTGAGTTGGTTTGGTAATAGGAAGCAAGACTCAAATATCTAAAGCAAAGGCTGGCAGTTCCTTTCGATGGTTCTTTTTTGGAGCATCAAGTATGTATACCTTTCTTTATTCCGCATTGAGATTTTATTTATGAAGGGCAGACAATAAAAGATGATCCATATGATAAAGTATGAGAAATTAACTGTATTACAAATGGTACACTCTCAATTGCATGATGACTAAATTTTTTTTTTTTTTTTTGCAGAATTTGCGCAGATTTGTTTAAACTGCCATATTGATGAAATAATTCATAACTATGTTTTGTTCATTTTACTTGCTTAATATTTTGACATAGCTGCATGGACATGCTATATTATGAATATTATTGGCTAGTCTTGTTTGTCCCTTTGCATTATCTGGTATGATAGTCCTCTCATGTGTAATATACTCAAAATATAAAATGTTGTTGTACTCATGGGGCTTTGAATGTTAGACGAGGCATTCCATTGGGTTGTTGCTTAGGTGCAATAAGCAACTCAGACGTGCACGCCCTAATGTATATAAAATGATAGGGAAGCACACTATAGTAATGGGAGATTGAGAGTGATGTTAATGTTAGGTTGGAGTATTTGTGTTTCTTATGGAACTTCAAGCAATGGGGGCCTCTTATTTGTGTGTATTAATTAGCTCTTCATGCATCTTATTGTGTATGATTCCTCTATTATGGGATTTGATAAACAAGAAGTGTTTGGTATACTTTTTGGCTTGTGTAACTGTTTATACTCTATGGATCATGTAATTCTAGACTTCTAAGTCAGATGATGAGATCATACATTTGATTGCTTGCTTGCATTCAGATTCCATTTCGAGTTAGAGAACATCGGCTAGTGTAAAGAGTAGTTCCCCTCTGTTATGATTCTTTCTAAGCCTATTGGAGAAAGACATTCATTTAGGATACTTAAGTTCTTTGTTTGATATTTCGTATAGGCATGGGACACTGCATCCTTAGTATTGTTTTATGATGGAAATACGTTAATTTGTGTAACATGTAAGCAATTATAATGTTATCTTGTTCATTTGCTAATTGGTTACCTAAATGATGTTTGGGTTGGAAATCTAAGCAGTACTGAACATTTGGTGACAGGATGCACTCAAACAGTTGTGGAGATTAGCTTACCCTGATAGAGAACTCCCAGCGTTGAAATCAGAGCTTTGGAAAGAGATGGGATGGCAGGGATCTGATCCTTCAACAGATTTCAGGTGTGTGGGAATATATAGTCATTTTTATTAAGACTACTGTACAAATTGGTATTTATTTGGAAATTATTTTGTAATTTTTAGGGGTGGAGGATTCATATCATTGGAGAACCTTATCTTCTTTGCCATGACATATCCGGTTTGTATTTTCTTCATTGGAATTACTTTCCTGTAGCTTTCATAATTAGCATTGACTGGTTAAAACATTTTCGTTGTTCTAGGTGACAATTACTGAATCGAAATTTTGATGAGTATGTTCTGTTCTTTTCTTCATTTAGGTGATTTGGAAATAAAAAATTTAAAAAGTAGTTTTTTGTATCTACTTCTCTTTTTAACAGGAAGCATTTCAAAACTTGTTGCACAAGAGAGTTGGAGATAGGTCGGAATGGGAGTATCCTTTCGCTGTAGCTGGCATCAATATTTCTTTTATGCTGGTGCAAATGTTAGATCTTCAATCAGGTACGCATTTGCTGATTTTTGTGTTTCTATTGAAAAAGGAAAACTAAAACCGTATTTGTAACATCTTTGGAATGGAGCAAGTAAACATGTTTTTTCGTTTTTCATCAATATTGCCTTCGTGAGATGAAATTTTAAACACTATTTAGAAGTTCAAAATATACTAAAAAATGTTTTTGAGTGGTCTTTTCTTAAAATGTTCCCATATAGGCTCTTAGCATTTGATTGCAAGCTTGCCCGTTTATTAGTAACAAAACACCGACATGAATGCATGCTTCCATCCATTTTGTTGTCTACGTGAACTTCCTGTGCCAAATATGACTGCAAGAGAAGGAGCATCCTTCTAATCCTTGAAGACGGTGTCAGCCTGTAAAATTATTGGGCAATGATAATATTTGGATTATGGTTTTAATTAAATTATACATTTTCTCACAGGAAAGCCAAATACGATAGCTGGAATTCGATTCCTGGAATTATTAAGTGAAGATGAAATGGCCTTTGACAGCCTTTTCTGCATTGCCTTTGAGATGTTGGACGCACAGTGGCTTGCAAAGCATGCCTCATATATGCAATTCAACGTAAAAAAAACACTTTCCCTTTCTTTTTTCCCTGATTCACTCTGCATTGAGTCGAAGAAATTAATTAGTGATGTTGCACGTCATTTGTCGATTTTTTCCTTTGCAGGAAGTTCTCAAGTCTACGAGGGTTCAGCTAGAGCGGGAGCTTGCACTTGATGATGTCTACAGTGTAAAAGATTTACCAGCTTACAATCTACTATTGAAAAGATGAAACATTTGATAACACTTATTTGAAGATAATTCGTTTTTTTTTTTTTTGAGACTTATATTTTTGACATGCGCTCTAACAAAGAGTTTAAAGGGTTGAATGACCTTGGTGATCTTGCAGAGAAGTTAGTTCTGAGAAAGAAAGATAAGGTATATCCATTGGTTTACAGACTTTTGACTTTAGCATTGATTTTACCGGTTGCTACCGCTACTGTAGAGAGAGTATTTTATGCAATGAGCATCGTAAAGAATAGATTGTGCAATCAGATGGGTGATTAGTGGATGAATGATAGCACAATTGTTTATGTAGAGAAAGAATTTTTGAAGCTAGATAATGAAGTTATTGTACGCCGACATCAAAATATGAAAACTCGCAAGGACAGGTTTAATATATAAATTATGTCATTTTTAGTATAGTTGTAATATTGTTTTATTTTTTTATCATCATTAAATCTATGATCAAAACCTCGAAGTTCGGCGTCGAAAAATAATGCCCACACTGAACAAAAATCCTGGCTCCACCCCTGGCTGCAAGTGGGTCTATAAAATTAAGTTCAATACAGATGGGAGTGTGGAACGATACAAGGCTAGGCTTGTGGCAAAAGGGTACACACAACAAGAAGGGTTTGACTATATGAAACATTCACACCTGTAGCAAAACTAGTAAATGTGAGGACTTTGTTGGCTGTTGCTGCAATCAAGGGTTGGTTACTGCACCAGTTAGACAGAAACAATGCATCCCTACATGAAGACTTAGATGAGGAAGTATATAAGCAACTACCTCCTGGATATTCCAAGGATGATGAGTCAAAGGTTTGTAAACTTTGCAAGAGTCTATATGGACTCAAGCGAGCCTCTAGACAATGGCATTCTAATTTGTCTTCATTTATTATTCAACAAGGTTTTCAGCAATCCAAATATGATTATAGTTTATTTACAAGGTGTACCAAGGACTCTTTCACAGCCATATTGGTCTATGTTGACGACATCATAATAGCAGGCAATAGTACGCAGGTTATTGAAACTTTAAAATCATCTCTTGATGCCATGTTCAAGATTAAAGATTTAGGGGTACTGAAGAATTTTCTTGGAATATAAGTAGCACGGTCAGGAAAAGGGATTTATATTTGCCAAAGGAAATATGCTCTAGATATTCTTGCGGACTCTGGAACCATTGGACCAGTGCTAACCAAATTACGATTGGATCAACACTTCAAACTCTCCAAAGACCAGGGTGAATTACTCACTGATCCTTCCATTTATAGGAGACTTATTAGGAGGCTCCTTTATTTAACAATGACCAGACCTGATCTTGCATACTCGATACAACTTCTTAGCCAGTATATGCAAGCCCCTAGCTCATAAAGTATTGAGGTATATTAAACGAGCTCTTGTTGTGAGTTAAGTTGGCTTAGGTATTCACTCCATGATTTGGAAATTGATCATCCTCAAGCGGCATCATTAGCTTGTGATAATCAAGCTGCTCTACAATTGCCGCTAATCTGGTCTTTCACGAAAGGACCAAACACATTGAGTTTGATTGTCATTTGATTCGTGACAAAATCGAATAGGGGAGTATTGTTACTAAACACGTGAGTAGTGATACTCAGATTGCAGACATCTTGACTAAACCTTTGGCATCGACATACTTTTATTCTCATTTATCCAAGATGGGAATAGAAGACATCTACTTTCCATCTTGCGGGGGCTGTCAAAATATGACAAGAAGAAAGCAAGAAGGAAGCTCATTGCCAGCAGAGATTCCAGCAAAGTCAAAGAACTTCCAGCTACACATTGAATTCTAGAAGAATTAGCTAAAGAAATTTGTGTATATATATTAGGCTCCAAATCAGTTATGAGTGGAAGAATTAATTTTTTGGTTGGAACTGTTTTGTACAGCTAGTGTAGAGTTCGTTAGGAATATTCCTTTTCTTCAATTATATAAGGGCACTACCAGTTTGTATTTTGATATGAAAAGAATACACAGTGAAATATTATCGGGGTACTTTTAAGAAAGACCTAGTCAAAAGACCATTTTTCACATTGACCAAAATTTTTTTACCATTCACCAAAAGAGCCTTTTGAAGAGTAAATGTCATTTTTGCCCTTATTATGTTTTGTAATTACAAAAACATATCATTTGCTCAAAAGACAATAATACCCTCTTTAAAAAATTAATAAATCCAAACAATCTCACTTCAATTTTAAAACGAAATTACTTTCCTTATCAAATTCTCCAACATAGTTAAAAAGAAATTTCCTCTTTCTTCTGCTTGAACATTGAAATCTCAAAAAATTATCAAAGGCTCAACCAAAAAATATTACTCACAGTCGGTACTTGAAATTGGTAAGTATAAATACGTATTTTTAATTTCATTTTAGTTAAATTAGTACATTGTTTGAATAATTAAATCTTATTTCAGTGTATGGTTTTAGAAAAATAAAATATTACAGTCTTAAACGAATGTGTAATTTTTTTTTAGCAAAAACGAGGAAAAAAATCATCTGTTCAAATGCAAAATGGAGAAGACAGCCAGCCAGAAGATCGGGTCGGCTGTTAACATTCGGCCCGGACAGCCCGGGCTGATTATTTTTTTTAATGATTGTGTGTCATATTTTTCGTCCTTTTATTCTCGTGATTACAATTTTTTAAATAAATGATGTTTCCTAATGCAGATATGGGATTACTGCTGTCCCGATTTGTTACTTTGGTGAATTTGAAAATAATGAAAATGATCGATGGGTGTGGAAATGGACGAGTGAAAGACATGATTGTACTGCAATTGTAATAACATCAAGTACATCATATGCAGAAATATACAATAAGATACAGAACTTCCTGAAAGTCGATCCCTCTAAGTACGACATGGAATTGGGATTTCTAATGGGCGAGCATATATCCATTTCAATTCCACCTCTAATAGTTACTTCTGAAACTGAAATGAAGGTTTTAATTGAAATGAACATGAAACGAACGATTTCTATTTGCATAACTTTGATGAAGAAGAATATCCTCGAGAGTGAACACGAAGATTTCGATGGAGGGGATCGTAATGTGAATGAGTTTTGGGACACAGTGAAAATAGTGCGTGATGATGTTGTAGCTATTCCAGAGACAGTTGCTCCTCACCATAATCTCACTGTTACACACAGAATTTGCTCGATAGTTCAAGACAACAAAAGAGATAATGACTTTACAAATGAGAATTTGATTGTTTTATCCCGTCTGAGACATGAGTCGTGTGGGAGCTCACAGGCTGGATCAAGTGCACGGTCCTCTAATTGTTCGTGTGTAGTCCCCGATGATGAAGATTTGTATGTCCAACAACTGTTTGACACGAAGAAATATTTGTAGTAAGCTATTCACCAAATTGCTTTGAAACACAATTTTGAGTTTAAAGTAAAGAAATCAAGTAAGTCGACTTACACAATTGTCTACGTTGACGACAGTTGCTTTTGACGTTTGCGAGCAACGAAAATGGATACGAATGAATTCTTTGTGGCTCGTAAGTATGCACGGGAACATACTTGCGAAGTGGGTATTCGTCGAAATGATCACAGGCAAGCCCGATCATGGTTCATTGGTCGAAAAGTAATACACAAGTTTCAGGACCCACGAACAATCTAAGACCTTCAACATTATTAATGACGTTTGTCGAGAGTACGGGGTGGTCATGAGCTATCAGAAGGCTTGGAAGGCCAAAGAATGTGCATTGAAGGACTTGATGGGTTTGACCGAGAAGAGTTATGCTAAATTGGCCAGCTATTTCTTTGTTTAGATGTTTATTTAATATTTATTTCAAATGTTAATTATTCATTTCAATTGTTTAATTAATTATTTAATTAATTGTTTACTTAATGTCTAACTAATTGAATCATTAATTTCAATTGTTTATTTAATTATTTATCGATTCTTTATTTAATGTGTAATTTATTATTTAATTCAATTATTATTTTTTCAGTTTTTTAATATTGTTTATTTAATTATTTAAATTGGTCAGATTTTGCTATAACATGGAAATAATTAATACTGGATCGACATTTTTTATTGAGAAAGATGACGAGAATCGTTTTAAGTATTTCTTTATGACCCTTGGACAATGCGTTCGATGATTTCGAAACGCAATGCGACCTTTAATTCTAGTCGACGGTACAACCCTTAAGGCGAGATACGGGGGCAAGTTGATTATTGCAACATGTCAAGATGCTAACATCCAAATTTACCCTCTTGCATTCGACATAATTGACGGAAAAAATGATCTAGCAATGCATTGGTTTTTTACGAAGTTGAGGGAAGTAATTGAGGATGTCGAGAACCTTGCATTCGTAACCAACCGAGGGCAGTCAATAATTAATGGAATCGTCGAAATCTTCCCAGAGGCACATCATGGTTATTGTATGTACTATATACAAGGAAATATGAAGACCAAGTATCGAGGCAAGGGCATCGTTACGTTGTTTAGGAGAGCTGCAGTGGCTTAGAGTTTTCAAGAGTTTGAAAAGTTTATGGTTGAAATAGAAAGTAAATCCTATGATGCACGGGAATATCTGACAGAGATGGGGATCGAACATTGGGCACGATCACATTTTACAGGACGTCGATACAATATGATGACGTCGAACAATGTGGAGTCGTTCAATGCCTTATTCAAGAAGGATCGAGAGTTATCAATTCTCGCAATGCTTGAGAATATTCGTGACAAGTTCCAACAGTGGTTTCATGATCGTCGTGAGGAGTCACAAAGTTGCACAAGTATGCTAACCCCGACTCAGAAAGATAAACTCTTCAAGACTCTAGAAGTGTCAAGGAAGGTATATGTAGAACCACTGGATCAATTTCGCTTCTCCTCGAGATGTGCACGTAATTTCGGATACATCGTCAACTTGAATGATAACACGTGCACATATAGACAGTTTCAGTTGGAGAATATTCTGTGTACACATGCAGTGGTGGTGGCTATGTATAGAGGAATTTCACCACACACCTTATGCAGTGCTTATTACACGACTGGTTCTTGGATAGCAGCATATGCCGAAACCAT